ATATAACATTTTAGACACATTCTAGACAGTTTATCAGCTAAAAAAAAAGTTAATTTTGGGGTAAGTTACTCTTTAAGAAGCTTACAGAAAGTTTATGAAATTTATATTGAGACAAAAAAGTGAAATGAATTTTTACTTAGATTTATTTATCGTTATTAAAACAGACCGAGAGCAAAGAATGTGACAGCGACATACAAAAACAGCTACCTCCTCTATCCATGCTGACAATTTATTCTTTATGGGCCTTCCTCTGGTAGGTATGAGACAAATAAATAAATAAATAAATAAATAAATAAATAAATAAATAAATAAATAAAAGTAAATAAAAACTGTTCTTTTTACTGGTGCGATAGATAAAACTTGAAACAACTAAGAGATTGACACCAAAACTGTCTGTATTTGTGATGCAATAGGAAAATTATGACCATTTTAGTATTGAACTGTTGCTTTTTTTCCTCTTGCTTTAACCTTGAAAACTCAGAAAAATTGTGATGATTCTGCAACAAAAACAAATAGCCATAACTTCTTTATTTCTCGAGATAATTGGATGAAATTTTCAGGAGAAGTAGGGAATTGCCTGCTCTTAACATTGACTACCTTTGTTCAATATTCATCAGTTGAGGATCAAATAGAGAATGTTTTTGTTTTGCTACCGTCATAGCATCGACACATTTGGGGTCTTAAAAGAAACGCTTGCCTGATCAGACTGTCATGAAACTCAGCCACTATTTAGATGAAATGCTACATTTCGGTGCTCTCTACTTTTTATTGAGCGCTTCAAGCTCGAACGTGTTTTGAAGCTTGTGGAGACAGACGGTCAGTTTCACCACTGATAAACTGCAAGACGAAACGGCAGAATCCATTCAATCAAAAACGTGGTGAAAGATTAACTTCTTTGCTACAACATCCTAAAAAAATTGGCGTGAAATACCCCTGTGGATCGATGAAAAATGCATTAATTGGAGGGGAGTCTGAAAACGCTACATTCACTGCAAAACACCTGCAAAAAACAAAACATTCATCTTGGCTGAGAGAGGTGGGGTTTGTCACATACTACCTCTGGTTTCATAAAATAATTGCCGTCACCCCTCATCGTGCTTACTAACGTTTATGAAAGGGGAAAAACAAATACATGACTGACAAACACTGTCTTCCAACTAGGGCTGCCACAATTAATCGATTAATCGACGACTAATCGATTATTAAAATAATCGATGACTAATTTAATAATCGATTAATCGTTTTCTTTTTTTGTTGTTGCTGTGCTTTACTTTGTTTTTCTCTCCAAACTGCTTTGACAGCTTCCACTGCCACGTCTGCCTTTCTGTCCTTGACACACATGCACAGTAGTGGTAACTGGGGTAGGCCGTGGACGTCACAAGACATTATACAGACAGGCTCTGGTATCATGGCTACCCAGCAATGTAGCTCAAAAGTGTGGGATCATTTTAAGAAAATGAAAGAGAAACCTGTGCAATATCTGCAGAGCAGAACTTGCCTTCCACAGCAATTATTTTTAGTTAGCATGTAGCTAAAATCTAACAATGGTTATACAATAGCAGCTGCATTCTGACGTGATAAGCTGTATGTTTTATATTCAGTTAACGTATGATCCGATTAGTCGACTAATCGAATAAATAATCGGTGATTAATCGATTATTAAAATAATCGTTTGTGGCAGCCCTACTTCCAACACATTGTGTGTATTTATATATTTTTTTAATTGCTGATACAAAAGCCAAATTTTTCATTTGTTTAAAATAATCTGTTCCCCCTCTGTAACACGGGAACAAAATAATTTACCTCCAAGTCTTTAACTGTGTTAATTACACTCATCATAAACAACAAATCCTGAAGATTTGGGAAAATTTACTCTTTATTGGCCAAAGTTACTTGGATGGAACCAAATATTATTTAGGCTTGTAAGCTACGGTTTGCACTGTTTCAATAAAAAAAAAATTTCTCACCGCATCTCTGATTAATTTTGTCCAGCTGTAGACTAGGGCTGCCACAAACGATTATTTTAATAATCGATTAATCACCGATTATTTATTCGATTAGTCGACTAATCGGATCATATGTTAATTGAATATAAAACATACAGCTTATCACGTCAGAATGCAGCTGCTATTATATAACCATGGTTAGATTTTAGTTATATGCTAACTAAAAATTGCTGTGGAAGGCAGATATTGCAAAGGTTTGTCTTTCATTTTCTTAAAGTGATCCCACACTTTTGAGCTACATTGCTGGGTAGCCATGATACCAGAGCCTGTCTGTATAATGTCTTGTGACGTCCACGGCCTACCCCAGTTACCACTACTGTGCATGTGTGTCAAGGACAGAAAGGCAGACGTGGCAGTGGAAGGTGTCAAAGCAGTTTGGAGAGAAAAACAAAGTAAAGAACAACAACAACAAAAAAAGAAAACGATTAATCGATAATTAAATTAGTCATCGATTATTTTAATAATCGATTAGTCGTCTATTAATCGATTAATCATGGCAGCCCTACTGTAGACTAGGTCTCTGTCCAATCAGAGCCAAGTATTGTGTAGTTGGTGCTTTTAATCAGTTTTCAGTTCAATTAAATCAATCCAAGTCTGTGGAACAGTCACAAAATGTCACCAAAATCACTCTGTCCCTCTAAAATCATTCAGAAAATCGAATCGCATCGTTCGCTGAGTATCGTGATATATATCGTATCATGAGATCAGTGAATCGCTACAGCCCTAATGACTGTTAAATCTTAGCAAACTCAAAGATCATCACGGTGCCCTGAGGGTGTCCTGATGTGTTGCCACCTGAAAGAAGGTGTTGGAAAACTAAACAGTGTCCTTACAACATCCCAACGCTCCTCTAGCTAAATGCCAAAGTTCCCAGGCCAGTCGAGAGACAAAGTCTATCCAGCGACCTCAGTGTTTTATCTCAGTTGGACATTAGGGTTGGGCATAATCGTATCGTGTGCAATTAATCGATTATTATTTGGCAATTGATGATTAATATGATATGAAGTCTGTAATTTTGACACAATTTGGAACAGATTTTTACGAACAGCAAATCTTTCCCACTAAATTGGTCACGTGACTATGACATGAGGGTGTCCAGGTACTCCAGGGGATTAATCGTCAAATTAATCGTTATCGGCCAAATACCACAATTAATCATAATTAATTTTTTTTTGCCAATATTGCCTAACCCTATTAGACATGCATGAAAATCCTCTCCAGTGATGCTGAAACCACCTGTAATGGCTCTTCAGCAGTGGCTGCACTGTGAGTTTATCCTGGCTAAAGGTTTTAATCTTGTACTGCACTCTGTACAATACCAATAAATTCTGGTTCTGATGCTTTTTTGTCTTCCCCAATCTGTTCTCAGGAGCAGAGAATGTCCAGAGCTGACTGGTCCTTCTTGGAACGCCTTTTGGAGGAGGGCCAAGACTATTCCACACCTATCGGCCGTGTCTGGCTCACCGTCCTCTTCCTGTTTCGGATGCTGGTCCTCGGAACTGCTGCCGAGTCCGCGTGGGATGACGAACAAGCCGACTTCGTCTGCAACACCCGGCAGCCGGGCTGCACCGCCGTGTGCTACGACAGAGCCTTCCCCTTATCCCACTTCCGCTACTTCGTGCTGCAGGTCATCTTCGTCTCCACGCCGACCATCTTCTACTTCGGCTATGTGGCCGTGAGGATCGGGAAGAGCCACAAAAACAAAGAGGTTCAAGATGAGAAGCAGGCGGGTACAAGTTTAACTGGGAAGACTCAAAACCGTGTGACTGAAGATGATTCAAAGGAGAAAGAGAAAGAAAAGAGTGGGAACAAGATTACATCTAAAACGCCTCATGAGCCCATGAAACTGAAAGGCAGACTACTGGGATTATACACACTCAGCATCCTGTTTAAAGTTCTACTAGAAACTGGATTTATTGTTGGACTTTGGTTCCTGTATGGCGGCTTCTTCATCGCAGCCAAGTTTGAGTGCACAGCGAGCCCGTGTCCTCACACCGTGGACTGCTTCGTCTCTCGTCCCACAGAGAAGACCATCTTCACCGTCTACACTCAGGTGATCGCCGCCCTCTCTCTGCTCCTCAACCTCATCGAACTCCTGCACCTATTGGTGCGCGCCATTTCCCTCCGGCTAGAGAAACAGGTTCAGGACAACCTGCCTCGGCTCGAGGAGGCCCGACGGGACAACCCAGAGCCGGAGGGAGGACATATCGGCGTCCCCGTGCAGGGTAGCACCACATTAAATACCAACCACCGCGGGAGCAACGCCGATACTGCGGTAGAGGCAGCAGAAGTGACTCAGGGACCAGGAGCGACGATTGGAGCTGACCTGCTTCCAAGTTACGTCAACTGTATGAAGGCAATGACAAAACCATATTCCAACAGGCACCAAGTTACCAAACACTCAAAACCATCTGAGAGAAATCCAAACCGTCCCATTAAGGGACAACATAAACATTATGTTTGATGCTGTTCATGCACACAAAGACTTTGTTTGCTGTTTTTTTTATCTGTTCTGCACATGACACTTAACTAACAGGAGCGCACTTAGAGCTCTGATGGGAAGAACAACTGGTCCACTGTGAAGGCAAAGCCTCAGAGGCAAACAGACGTACAGAGTCTTACTCTCTAAATGATTCTATTCAAAATCAAACATGTTGAGTAGCCTTCACTGAACGGCACAGAGGGAAGTCATAAGATGTCTTCCTGCTCCAGTTTAATCGTCTTCAGCAAGATGTGGAAGAAAAACTGAGAAAGGGGGAGGGGTGTTTGTGGAGGAGCCGCTGTTAGAGAGTCTATGGAAGGAAATTAAAGTTTAAGTATTTCCCCCTGAGATTTGCACTGTAACCCAAAGACTCCCCTTTTCCTCTGGTCCTGTTTTTATTGTGGAATGTTCTGATCTCTGGATCCTTCTCTGTTCCCAGAAGGATAATTACAGCGGATGTAAGCACGCATGTATGCACACACACAATGTGGGTTTTTTTTTTCCACTTTCAGAGCTGTGAGTTCTGGTCCCTCAAATGTTGGGGACATGGATCCAGAGCTGTATACTGAGCAGAGCGATAGCTGTAAGTTAAAGACAGTGACTGCAAGATTGGACTGAAAACGGTACAGAAATGTACAACTTCACTGAAAAGAAGTGGATAATATATTGAAAAGATAATATTTAAGATCATTTATAAGTTATTAGAAAATACAAGTCCTGATATTTATTATACTGATAAGAAAGTGTCTAAAGTATCAAAAAAAAAAAAAAAACCCTGCATCATATTTATTTATATACAGACTTAATTTTATTATGTGAATGCTGATTCAGCATTATATATTGTTTTCCTGTTTTATTTGCTGAGGTGCTTTTAAAAAATCTAACTTGTTCTGTATATTTTGGGCTGTTTCATCTTTCATGTATCTAAATGTTTGGCTCTTACAGGAGTTGGTTGCAATTTTTGTTTTTATAACTTTTATAGTTTTTTGATTTAGCATACGGAATATGCCACTTTTAGCTTCTATTTTTTAAAATAATTTTAGCTAGTCTGCTGCTTCTTTTAGTTGACCTTTGCTGCTTTTAACAAGCGTTTTGCTATTGTTAACTTTTCAACAGACTTGCCTCTTTAGCTAGCATTTTGCTACTTTTAGCAAAACTTTTGCTGCATTTAGCTACTTTTGAGTTCTAGCAAGCTGTTTTGCTACAGTTAGTATTTAGTTACTTTTAGGTTTTAGCTAGAGTTTTGTTAATTTTAGCTAACATTTTGCTGCATTTAGCTACTTTTGAGTTCTAGCAAGCTGTTTTGCTACAGTTAGTATTTAGTTACTTTTAGGTTTTAGCTAGAGTTTTGTTAATTTTAGCTAACATTTTGCTGCATTTAGCTACTTTTGAGTTCTAGCAAGCTGTTTTGCTACAGTTAGTATTTAGTTACTTTTAGGTTTTAGCTAGAGTTTTGTTAATTTTAGCTAACATTTTGCTGCATTTAGCTACTTTTAGATTTTAGCTAGCTTTTCTGCCACGTTTAGCCTTTAGCCAGCATTTGGCTAATTGTTTTCGCTAGAGTTTTATTACTTTTAGCTAAAAGTATTTTTACTTTTGGTTTTTAGCACTCAGTGCATTTTTGCAGAGTGCAGTTTCTCTAGTTCAAATTGATGTTTTCCTTTTAAAAGCAAAGATTTGTTATACAGGAGACCTACAGCATGAGAAGATTATTTCTTTACTGCTCAGCAGCACACTTTGCACTAAGTATTATTGCAGTACATAAAAACTGAGTCCCTCATGACAACAGAATAAATAATAGAAACATTTTATATCATATCACAAGTCTAGATTTCGATAAGGGAACTAGTGGAGGAAAATAAATTTGATTTAATGTCTGTTTTCCAACTAACAGTTCTGGCTTCCTGATTAAAAAAAGAGGACATCATTCATATTGGAGTTTAAAAAAGTTGGACCCCCCCCCCCCCACACACACACACACTTCTCCCTGAGAATGCTCCTTTTATACTTTTTTCATGTAGAGCAACTGATAAAATCTTGACCTCAGCACCGTCAACCAACGTTCTTTTTCATTGCTCTGATAAAATAGTGACATTTCTCTTCATGGAAGTGGCTGCAGCGCTCAGCAGCTCCACGATGATAAGCAGTTAATGGGAAATGTAAACAAACCAAGATTTTGTAGCAGAAAGCTTTATTTGAACTGTGTGTGACGACAAAGTGAAGCAAAGAGCTAAAAACAGGAAAAAATATAAAAAAAATCTTTTGGTGTACAATTTTTTGATATATTTCGACAGTTTTCTCAGTCTTCAGAGAGGAATGTGTTTACTTTGTGTCGCTGATGAATTGTCAGTTTTTGCAGAGGAAACAGCAGCTACCAAGTTCCGCTCTCGAGAACCCCGCTGGCATTCGCAGGCGGTTCTGTTATCTCAGTCTTCATGTGTCCACACGTCCATGTGATTAATCCCACCTGTGTTTTCACAAAAAGCCAGAGAGGGTCATGAAACACATTGCACAGGGCAGCTGATACCGCCGCGCTGCTGCCAACCAAAAACAAAGCGTTCAAGCTGCATTTTTCTCCCTTGTAGTCGGAGAAGTAATAACACCCCATTCTGTTCTCTCCACAGACTAAATACTCATCTCCTGTTCTGTGGAGAAACTTTGGCTGTGTCCAAAACGACAGGCCGGGTCCTCCGGAGGACCCAGACTACCCGGTCGAGGTGGGCCGGGTCCTTGGTAGACCGGGAAGAGCGGAAAAACTGAGGCTGTGAATTTGGACGGTCTAGCCTCCCCTCCTTACCCCGGCGTACGTCATGTCACCTAGCAACCACGGCGATGCTAAACAGAAGCAAAAATAGATCAAAATTAGAAAAATATCAATACATTAGCATTATTAATATCACAAAACAATAAAATTAACTTAAAGGTATCATTTGAAGAACTAATTTACCCGCTGTAGGTGCATGTTTATTTCACGTTTTTTTATGATAAAAAATAATATTTAAAAACATGTCCATACAAATGATAAAAGTATTAGAATTGCAACATCTAATTTTTTTTTTATTTTTATATCACCATATTTTTTATTTAAAACATATTCTTTTCTCTCGCTTCGTCTGCCATTACTAGCTTAAACAAATCTCCGGTCGGGCCGCAATGCATTATGGGATACGCTGGGCCGGGAAGTTTCCATCGGATCTGTCCTTCAAATTGGGGAAAAGGAAGGACGTATTTGTCGGCCGCATCGGAGGAGTCGTCAGTTTGGGACGTCCTTCGTCGCGGCGCTGTGACGCATGCGGCCGACAAATTCGGCCTTCGGAGGACCCGTCCTGCCATTTTGGACACAGCCGTGTAAACTTACAGGCTGAGGACAGGGAGGTCAGGTTAACCTCTCAGTATCGTGCCATTTTGGAAAAACTTTCAAACACACCAACAACATCAAGGAGATAAACATTCACAAAAAGCTTGCTAAATTCACTGGTTTGAATATTTAGACTGTTTTTAAAAAAATCCATAAAACCAATTAAAAACCTTGTAGTTGTTGAAGAAATGCATGTCCAAAAGGTATTGTACTAACAAACATGGTTGACCCCATTAATACCAAAGTTTTAAGCAGTTGTTGAGCAGTAGCTCTCATCTAACAGCAAATTTAGCACACAATCTGCAAAACTGACCAAATTATAGCCATATATGTTTTCTAAAGTCAGCTGGATTGGGCCCAAAAGCTAATCAGATGTAGAAGTATCCAGATATTTCTTATAAATTCCATTAAAATCCATGCAGTGGTTTGTGGCATATTTTGCTAACAGACACGAGTTAACACGGCATAGTTAATGGCAAAATGTTCAAAGTTCTTGCACAGTCTGTTGGGGATCAGTCTCAGCTGCCACCACTTTAAATTCCAGGTCAACATCTGTAACGTTGGCTGAGACGTAGTCATTATTATGTAGGTTGATTGTGGCAGCCATTGACTCACAAAAAAATAATTGCTTGCCCTTCGTATCATGAGTAATATTAATCAATGAGTAAGCAAAAAATATTTGAAAAGCAGGAACTGGATCTGTGAGGGTCCGTAGGCTCTTCGTCTGTGTTCAGATACCACTGTTCACTCTGTTTCCTGGGATTGTTGAAGTCACTGCTGAGACATTTCCTCAGTCCTTTGGTTGGCTATTTAATAGAGAAAAGAGTGTAGCAATTTGGTGGCACACACACACAAATCTATATTAAGACTTTTAATTGACTTCCATTCATCTCCAGTCGTTCCTATAGCCTAACCTTGACCTCTTACCCTAAAGCTAACCATTGATCTGTATTACTGGATTGGACATCACATGACTTATTGTGCTCCACACACGCGCCATTGCCATTCATTGAGTCTTGACTCAGGAACATCTGTGGATGGTCGTAAAAATTAGATGCAGCAACTGCACTAACCCTCCTAGTGCCCTAACCCTAAACTCAGCTCACACCATAGTCCTAAACCTAACCCCAACCCAGAAATGGAGTTCCACCAAATTAGGGCCGGCAGAGGCTTATATAGCAAGTACATTTTCTTTGTTACAGTAAAGGTATTTTTTTCAGCATGTGAGTAAGTTTTATTTTTTTACTTTAACTTTGTTACATTTAAACCTATAAAAGTATATATTTACTTCTTTGCTTTAAAACTTAATTTTACACAGTCTTTTTAAAGGTATTTTTTACTTCTACTTATTTTTTGAAGTACTTTATACACCTGTGAGGACTGGTCTTGACAAGGTAGGTGTGTATTCCAGAAACAATCAGTTTACTGACCTTAGATGACCTTTAAAGGCTGAAAGCTCTACACAAAACCTCACCTCACAAAACTTTTACTAACAGGCCTTAAAATAGCAACTTCAGTGTCAATACAAGATTTCTATTTTTAGAACAAAACCCAAACAACATCCCAGCAGACAGCATGTACTTCTTTTTATACTCAGTGTTGTTGAGGAAATTTCAGTCGTGCCAAATCCGTTTTTTTTTCCTCCTTCCATCTGAACAATCCAGACAAAAGATTTTGTCCATATCTTTGACAATGTTGCATTTGTGCACCGCGTGCCTAATTTGTCTGGATAACCAAACAAAACAAGACAAGAAACCCCACTTTGACCAGCTCCTCAATGATGGGGGTGCAGGAAGTGGGTCTGTATCTGTTTCCTGTTCCAGCATTGTTCGTCCCGGGGGCCGGTCCTCTGGGATTGTTCCACTCGACAATGGAGCCGCGGTGGGCATTGTTGCCTTGTTTTTGTGTGTTCTTCTCGCTCGCGTTGGTCGGGCGAACGCCAACAGCGTGTTCGACCAAACGCTCACGAACCGTGGAGGGAAATGGGCGAGCTGCCCGCTGCGTGGATGGGGTCAAAAAGAAACAGAAACAGGAGCTTGCAGAAATAGCTGCATATTTGTAGGAAATGGGTGGAAACTGATCTGTTTATTGTTTCTACCTAACCTACATTTGGGCCAGAAGAACCTCCGAAGGCTCTTCAGTGTACCTTATCACATCTTAATGTACTTTATTAAAATCATTTCCAGATTAGATAAATTAAAATTAAACCCCTGTTCCATACTTAAATACACACCCATCTCGATCCAGGCAGCCTTTACATGCATAATAATAAACAGGTGTGCCACATAAATAGAGTGGAGACTGTGTTCTCTTTGATTCAGACAGTTTCAGAAAATGTCGAATTAGTTCAATAAAGACGAGGTCACCTGGAGGAAAAGGTTATGTTGGATGATACATCCGTTCGTTTTCTTTAGCCTCTTCTTCCTGTTGAGGTTCACGGGGTATAAAATAATAAAAA